AATTAATCAAAATCATATTTTTTCAAAATAACACTTGTAGTACAACAAGGAGGAGCCCATTCATGTGTGAAGTGATTTTGGTTACACTACATTGCATGACAGTGAAGCTATTGAATATTGTTGTAGTAGGTATTTTCCGCATTGCACTTTGTAGACGGTCCCTGCGCACTCGTCTCGCAGCCGGCCGCTCATTGAGACCAATGCAGATTGTCCAGCTCGGAGGAGTCCGTAAAACGGCCCGTTTTAATTAAATTAAGGTTGTAGCTTGTTGTCTACCTCACTACGGTTACAGGGAGGTATCGTTTGTATTTTAGCAACGTTTCGTTAACGATTTATTGAACCGGGAATTCCGAATCTGTCAATATCTTTCTAACTTTACCTAACCAGGAAGAGAAGCGATTCCTGTCTTTGTCCCACAGTGGTGGAATTTGCAGTTGTAAATAGCAGCAAAAACGATAATGCAATAACAAGCATCAGTAAATAAATAAATACAAAAATGAATATGAATACAGTATCAAGTAAGAAACTGGTTCGAAGGATATTTGGCCCTCTGTAATTGGAAAGCATAATAATGGAAAGTGTGAATTTTGTGAAGAAGTTTCATTGTTTTGTCAGAAGTATGATTCAGCGAGAGAAGTTTTAAATAATGGACTAAAAGCGAGGAAACCTCTTCAAGAATATTTAGGGTCAACAAGAATAATATTGCTAATATTTTTGTGTTTGTTTGTTTCATTCGTTTATTTTTGTTTGTTTAATTATTTAGTTTTCTTTCTTGTTTTTTTGCTGTTATCGGATGAGAGAGAGGGTAGGTCCTTAGTCCACACTCCAGATAAGTGGGCGGCAGTAATGCAGCCGAAAGCTGTTTGCCAACCGCCAGGAAAAATAAAAGAAGAAGAAGTCAGTATCGAGCGATTTGGTTGGCTCCTCCTGTCAGCCAACGAAGGAAGCTCTTGTACGCATGTCCTTCTACCTCCATGTGAGTACTCCTCGCCTGCTCCCCTGTTCCTCTTTAAAGAAACACCATGGTAAGTCTAAAAATGACTAAAAGAAAAGATATATATTAGCATGAGGAGTTTTAATAGCTTGGTATGAAATGTTCCATTAGCAGTGCAGCTATGTATTAATGTGACGTTACTAGTCATTCATGTGCGCGTGATATCGCCATTGAATGTAAACATCACAGTTCTGGTCCACATCTTGATAAAGATCGATTTGTGAAGTTCGACAAATCGATTTTGTATCGTGTATTTATAAGTTGCATAGCTAAAAAAAAAAAAAAAAAGCTAATTTTTGAGTCTTGTACAAAGAAGACACCCAGAACTGCGTTTAAAAAACTTTTTTATAGTTTATAACCTTTAACCACGGTGTCGTAGTGAAAAGACTGATTAGATTGATTTTGCTCTGTCACACAAACGCCCTAGTTTCTGAACCAAGCTCACCTTTCCCTGTCCAAATGACATCAGCGTATTAAGAGCCTGCACCTCTTTGCTTGAGTTGATCTGGTGTGATATTGTCATTGCAGCTTCGTCGGGAGGTGAGACTGAGACGAGAGTACCTGTATAGAAAGGCACAAGAGGACCGGCTCCGAACAATTGAGGAGAAGAAACAGAAGCTGAAGGGCGCGCTTGAAGGTGGGACGGCGTTATCATTTTTCATCCTGTTGTGTTTTGGTACGACGGCTGGTCGGCAGTGTAAACGATCCTGGTGTCAACACAAGCTGTTTTTCTTTTTTCCCCTCTGCAGAAAATCGTCTCCTTCCAACCGAGGTACGCAAAGATGCTCTGCAGTTGCAGAAGCTACTGGAGTACGACGATGAAGGGGCCGAAGGCGGGTGTTATTATTTCTTATTATGAACAGCATCCTGTCTAATATCATCCCGTTTCTGATCTTTGCAACAATGTGTTTGTTCATATTGATTTTTTGGGTCTTCTCCGCGCAGGTGTCAGCTCCCACATGGACGATGAGTATAAATGGGCAGGAGTTGAAGATCCTAAAGTCATGGTCACCACATCCAGAGACCCCAGCTCCAGACTCAAGATGTTTTCCAAGGTAAGGCCGGTTCGTCTGCAATGAATGGCTCAGTCAGGACAGCAGATGGACCTATAGGATATACTACTACATTACCGTACTTTTTTTAAAAGATGTTTCTTTTTTAACTAATTATAAATAAAATGGAGACTGTGTTCAATTAGAACAGTACCAATTAATTGCCATCATGTCTGTAAAAAATAGACTGAACACTGTCCACTGCAATAATGCAATACAATAATGGAAAATAAAGTACACAGTAATAAAAAGATAATAAATGAATGCCTGTTGTGGTTAAATTGAGCCGTTTCTAAAAACAAAATTACCAAATTACAAGTTACTTTGTCATCTGTAAATGACAAATCTAAAAATGCAGCGTTTGCTCCATTTACTCCAGATTTTTTAAATTTATTTATTGATAGACCAAAAATGGTAATGAAATGGATAATATAATGATTAATAATATAATCAATGATAAAATAATTTCAATCCAACAAGGCTAACAATCATATTCTTGTTTGGAGCCTTAGATGGACTAAAGCCTATCCCAGCATGCATTGGGGGAAAGGTCCTACATTAACATGTTTGGCCAGTTTAAGGCTGCTTATAATCAGCAATGGAATACTTCAGCCACAAAATGACCATTTGTAAATCACTCACCTCCTCTTATCTGGAATTCTTGAAGGAAAATTTGTTTTTCTCTCATGCCTCGGTGTAGGACGAATCAAAAAACATCAAAAGGTCTTGATGAATTGTAGTTTAACAACACCAAACTAGTATAGAAAAAAAACTAGAACACGTGGGACTCGAACGGACGAGTTACTGCTGCTTATTTGAAGAAAATAAAAGCACAAACTACTGAACAACAGAGACACTTGAGAGACGTGTTGGAGTAAAGAGCAGACTTACAAACAACTGTCTTTTCTTCATCACAAACTTGACAGCCGAGAGCAACCAAAGAGATCGGAGAACAATGTGTGTGGGTGTGTGTGGGGTTACAGGAGGCAAAGCTGATGTTCCCTGGAGCCCAGCGCATGAACAGAGGAAACCACGAGATCAACGCGCTGGTGAGAGCCTGTAAAGCCAACAACGTCACAGACCTCGTCATCGTGCATGAAACCAGAGGACAGCCAGGTACGCCTGTGTTTTACCTCAGTCTTTTATTAGAGCACGAGCAACCGACAACGTCGGGCCGCGAAGGCCCTATTGAAATTCGAATACACATAGTACATCGGGCGCATATTTGGCGGACTTGCAAAACTCAAAAACTCACCAAATTTTGCACACTTGTCATTCCTGGTGATTATAGCCATCTGATATAGGTTGAATATTTGTGTGTAAAAAAAATGGCTCTCTAGTGCCCCCTAGAATTTGGACCGGCGACGCCCCTCGGCCCTTATGTCCGATTTACTTGAAATTCAACACACATGTTCAACTCTGCTATTTCTACAAAAAAGCCTCTCAGACCCCTAAACTCCGCCTACTTAGATGATCCGCCACCTTGAATTTTGTGAAAAACACACTTTTGCAAACTCCTACACTCCGAGTCCGATTACTACCAAATTTGCTCAGGATCATTATTGGTTCTACATCATCAAAGGTTATTAAAAGCTTTTTGATATCTCTTTTGAGTTCACAAGATATGGACCAATAAACGTCTTAGGGGCGTGGCTTATATATAAATACACATAACTTCTCAACCATTTGTCCTAAAATCACCAAATTTGCAGCCTGCCACATTGTGCTTTTTTGTCACTTTTCGCAGTTTTCAGCCTTTGTACTTTAACAAACTCCTCCTACAGAATTAATGGGATCAACCTCAAATTTGGTTAGGATGCTCTTCAGACCTTTGTGATGAAAAGTTATTCAATTCGTGAGTTTTCATGGAAGAACCGTGACTGTGGTGGCCATTTTGCCTCATTCGGCATGAACAATAAAGTTGTAATAACTCCAAGGTACATTATTTAATCTCCAAAAAATTACATATGCATGATGCTACTTCAAGTCTGAGCATATATCAATGCCAACAGCTCATAGCGCCACCTACTGGCAAAAGGAAATGTCACATTTTATACTTTTATTTACTCCTCCTAGCCAGTTGATCAGATCAGTTTTAAATTTAGTAAGGAAAGCCTTATGACATTGAAGATGCTTCATCAGGAATATTGTGAGTTTTTTTTAACGCTGTTGCTGTGGCAACGCATCATTCGCCATGAAGAAGAAGTTGATGGTTCAGTGGCTTGGGATGATCAAAAACTCATGAAACTTTGTAAATGTGTCATATGTCATGGGAAGACATATTTTATATGTGATTTTGGCTTGACCGTTTTGAATTGCCTCCATAGCGCCCCCTACAAATTTTCAAAAGAGCAGCCCCATCGCTACGTTTCACCTACATGTATGAAATTTGGAAGACGCATGTATCCCATAAAGACTTTTAAAAAAGTCTCCTAGGACCAGGCTCTAAACCATACCGGGAGATGGCCATTTTGATTTATGTGTGAATTTTCCCATGATTTTGGACAATTTATAGGCGCCCCCGACGTGCGGGAGGATGTTATTTAAAGGGATATTTAGGTAGTCAACACAAAACTAAGTACCTGACACATAAACTTGGGTAGCAATTTTAACTAGAAAATTCCTAAAGAAATTTTGACAGTGTGGCTTCTACTGCCCGAAGAAATCGCAATATATACACACGGCAATGTTACCGGTAGTGTCATTCAGGTTCAATTGAGATAGCGCTACTCTCTTTTCTGCATTTTAGATTCAGACTCTTGGATTGAATCTTGTATTTGTGGGGCTTTTATTTTGAAAGGGTGGGACTGGGTGGGTGAGAGAGGGGGAGAGGAGACAGAATCATAATGTTTGACACTAAAATGAGAGGCTTCATCACAAGCATTCCAGTTAGAATTCATTCTGTGGGGCTTTTAATTTGAAATGGGGGGGTTGGGGGGGAAAGTCCTCTAAAAATATCTAAGACCTGAATGACTGTATGATAGAGAGGGAGAGAGAGACAGAGTGAGTGAGTGAGACAGGCAGACAGACAGTTAGATGGACTGAGTGAGTGAGTGAGACAGGCAGACAGGAAGTCTAATGATCTTTCCTTGAATATCGTGTGTGTGTATGTAGAGACAGAGAGAGAGAGAGAGAGAGCCTGCGTGCGTGTGTGTAACTGGTTGCCATGGTGAGGACGCACCTGGTGTTAGAGGCAGACTGATTAAGAAACATTATAGTAAACAGTGATTTTGAACAAAACCCCTAACTCCTTTTAACAAATTAGCAGGAGTCTGAGTGCCAAAGTATGGGTACCGTGAGAAAGATAAGACTCTGGCAAATGCGTTAATGTGTTTTTTATGTTTGTGGAATTAAAAATGTGAGCTCCAGAGCAATATACAAAACTGGTACCGTCTGCTTTCTTTGAGAAATGAGTGGTCAGATTTAACATGGAGTCTAATGGAGCAGTTGGTTGGAGTTCATGTCGCTCTGCGGCTCTTTGAGCCAAATGTGTAAGTCCGTTGGATTCCACAGACCTCTGTGTGCGACAGCACAACATTTCCAAGCTTTTTGGCCAAAAATGGTGTATAAAGAGTAAAAATTGTGGGAGCTGGAGCAATTTGTTTCTAAAAATCACTGAATATTTTCCTGCTCCACTCCACTCTGACAGTTATGCCCTCACTCTAGCTCTTAACGAGCCGTGCAATACACACCCATTATAAAATCTGAAACAGACCCAAAATTTTCCTGAAACTTAATCTGTGACTTCATGAAAACTGTGCTAGCTATCAAAATGTCCCTTTGGCTGAATAAAGTCCACGTTTTAAACTTTGAATAATTTTTCTACGTTAATGTATGGCTAGTCAATATGGGCCCAAATTTAAGTGTTTTTTTTTGCTCTCTTGACGCCGAAACCCCATTCAAGTGAATGGGGAAATTTTGCTGTTTTTTGGGATATACGATACATAGCTTCATATTTTCATTTCTTTTCTAAAATAGTTTCACTGTTTAATTAAACCCTCTAATGCAGCGGGATCATTCCAGTAAAACTAATCTAAATTTCGAGGGATTATTTTATATTACGTGTTAGAGGTGCTTTCATTTTGAAATTCCACATCAGAATATCCTGGAATCTGAGCGACACTCTGAGGTGGTGAACTATAGTTTGAAGTCAGATTGGTCATTTTAAATGTTTTGTTTATTCATTTTAATTTATTATACTATATTGATCCCGTTAAGGGGGAAATTTGTCTCTGCATTTGACCCATCCCTGTATATAGGGAGCAGTGGGCTGCCAATGACGGGTGCCCAGGGAGCCGTTAGGGGTTCAGTGTCCTGCTCAGGGACACTTCGACACATGACACGTCCCAGTCAAGGATCGAACCGTCGACCTTGTGGTTACCAGCCAACCCAGTGAGCCATGGTCGCCCCGAAGTTTATGAAGTTTTACTAATTATTCACGTAGTTAAATTTAAATTCAACAGGCAGTCTCTTCATCATCATTCATTTAATTTATTATTTAATAGTTATTTATATATTTATTTGACTGATTTATTAATGAATGGGATATTACCTGTGATGTTCACTGGGTGGTTGCTTGTCACACGCCTCATACGTCACACACACACTCGCCCAGGAGAGTGTCTATGAGAGGGAAAGAGCGAGGGAAGCGAAACGCCAAAGCGAGTCTTTGGGCTGCCATGGAATCATTTTAGGACATTCATGCTCCCCAGAGGATGAACCATAATTGAATTACCCTCAAACTCAGTAGTAGCCTGCTAACACATGGATTAAAGATGGCGACCATGGTAAACACATCCGCTTAACACCGTAATAATGGCATGTTGTGTGTTGGCACTAAATTTAATGACAACCAACCCAAAAGACATTTATCCGAGTAGTAAAAGGAAAACAAGATTGCATGGGATTTTAAACGGAGTGCAGCTGTAATCAGAGTATAAAGAGTGAGTACAGAGACGCTGCACATGGAGCATCTGATTTATTTATTTTGGTGCCTGTATATTTTCAGACGGCCTGGTGGTGTGCCACTTGCCGTTCGGACCCACGGCTTACTTCACGCTGTACAACGTAGTGATGAGGCACGATGTCCCAGACATAGGCACCATGTCGGAGGCCTACCCCCACCTCATCTTTCACAACTTCTCCTCACGACTCGGCAGTAGGGTGAGTGAGTGCCGGACTGTGCTTTATGCACGTGCAGTTGATATTCTCTGTCACCTGTTTGGTTTTTGGATACAACTAATTGATCATTTTGCTCACGCAGGTTTCAAATATCCTCAAGTATCTGTTTCCAGTGCCGAAGGAGGACAGTAGGCGTGTCATTACATTCGCCAACCAGGAGGACTTCATCTCTTTCAGGTCAGTGTGAAACGACTGCCTCGGTGTACATGCCATAAAGACTTTGCGGTGAACAGTGATATGAGTAACACGTTTTCTTTATTTTTCTTTATTGCAGGCATCACACCTACAAGAAAACGGATCACAAGAACATCGAGCTGACAGAAGTGGGACCCAGGTTTGAGATGAAATGTAAGTATGAATAGATGTTAAGAGATTTTTCATCTTCTATATTTATATATTAGCTTAGCACTAAGACTGGTAGCCGGGGGTAAACAGTGTAGTAACTTATCCAAATACAACGTGTACGTTCCCTAGCTTTGCGTGGTTAAAAGGAGCATAGAAACACTGATGGCATTTCATCGTGTGGTCTGTCCACCAGAGAGCGCTGCTATGTGTATTTACTACTTGTGAAACGTCCCACTGGGTCTTGAACTTGGACCAGATTTTTAAATGACTAAACACACGGGATCCGTTTAACAGTCTTTGTTTTGTTCTCGTATAACAAAACTCTAAAAAAGAAAAGCTTTTTTTCTCGCAGTGCTAATGTCGGTCTCAACACAGCCTTGAGTCTGAGCTAGGCTAAACCCAGTCCAGAATTCAAACGAAAAACACTAGAAAAGCTTTGTCTTCATGAGAGGGCTGTGAATGTCGTGTAAAAATATCAGTGTTAATAAACGTCTCTACAGGACGAGATAAAACTGAAAACGTATTACTCATGAGGAAGTTTAACGAGAGAGGAATTACGAGAGAAATAAATTTCTAAAGAAACTGTGTGAGTGAATCTTTGACGACGAGACTTTTCACCCTGAACTGGATGGCTCGCTTAACTTTGTATGAAGGAGTATATTATGTTTCAAATAAGTGATCTACTCAAAAGCACCTTCGACTGACCAATCAAAGCTCGGCCTGTGGGTATTTAGATAATATTACACAAATTCAAAGAAGTTAAAATCATAATCCAAACTAAAAGCAACACAGTTGAAGTAAGTTCATTTACACATTGATGTGTAAATGAAGTTCTAATTTCACTGCTTCGTCTAGAGCACGATAGATCTGAATCTAATTACATGTGTGTATTATATTAAATGAATGTGTTGCTGATGTATTCTTATGGGGTGTGACTACATTTTAGCCTTATTCTTTAAGTTGCAACCCCGGCGGTGTGAAACGAACTTGTGGGGGGGGGGGGAAATCAGTACATATTCCTTGTCATATTTTCACATCATATATCATATATGCTTCTTGAGCCGTGTGTCGGAGTCGTGTCTTAGTCACAGACTGGATGTGTTGCCTTGTGTTACTTTGCTTCAGTTACTTTTATGTACACTGTATGAGATTATAAATTATGGAGGGAAACATTTTTACCTCTTTGAATTATGTATTTACATTTATTTTTTATTTGCCTCCAAGTGTTTTTGTCACCGCCGGGGTTACAGCTGAAAGAATAAGGCTAAACTATTGTCATACCAAAATAAATCCTGGGTATGTTGATCCCGCTTCGTACTAAAGGCTCCTGTTCTCAGGAAATAGTATTCCTCTGTTCTGTACTACTTTTCTTCTGGGATGTGTAGAATTTTAACATCTGTCCTTTTACTCAGTGTATATGATCAAACTCGGCACCCTGGAGAATGAGAGCACCGCGGATGTGGAGTGGCGTCACCATGCATACACACACACAGCCAAGAAGAGGAGGTTCCTCAGTGTGCAATAGGAACTAATAAAGCAGAACAAACTGTTGTCAAAAAATGCTTTTTGGACTGTTTTTTTTTTTTTTTTTTTTTTTAAATGTGGAGTTCATAAAATGACGTTTTTGTTTGTTGCGTACCAAATATGATAGAACTATAATTTGTTAAAATAAAGGGTTTACCATAGTCGAACTGCATCAAATCCATCATGAGTGAAAGTAGATTTCAACTAAATTAGGCCTTTTTTGATAAAACGATTGATTAACAAAGAACTAATGCATACTGTTCTGTATTAAAACTGTTGTGTTGTTTTTTTAAAATATAAAATGCGTAATGATCTATGTTGGCTCAATGGTGTTTATACTTATGTGTGCAAATATTTACTGTAAGTGACAACTGCAGGGGATTGAGCATCCCCCTATGTAATTTCATCAGTTAGGATTCAGGTGACACAGGTACTTGTTCTTTCTCACCAATGGAACTGTAGGGTTGTTTGGAGCTGTGCTGCAAAAACAAGATCCCACATTCATTTGCTGTCTGAACATACAGTTGTGTTCATGAAGAACAAATCATGGAGCAAAAAAATGCAGTTATCTTTAAATCTGTGTCTCGTAGTACAAATAAATGCAGAGTGATTTGTATCTGAACAAACGTACGTGCCTCTGATTCACAACTCGCATGTCATTTGTAAATAAACACAAACGGTTGCAAAACGCTAAATCCAGTGTCAGAGATTTAAGAACAATACATACTTCACAATCATGTAAGACAAAACAATTGGAGGCTCTTTATTTCACTCCGATCATTTCATCAGACAACAGCAGGCTCCTCGTGAACCCAGCAGACTGGCCACACTGTAACATACCTCCTCAGACAAGTCCATCCCCCACCAACCAGAAATACCTCTGATGCACTCATTGCGCTGCAAAGGGCATTCAATCAAACACCCTGAATTCAGTAAAAGGCACACCAGATTTCACCCCAAATAGGCACAATTGCTTCACACTAATAGAGCACACTGTTTAAACTGAGCTAGAAAAGGTATCCTCCTATACCTAACTTCCCCCCAGTGATCCCCCGGTCCCACGGATACATTACTACTGTATAACGATCTATTAAAAGTCTTCACGTAACCACATATTGATACAAAGACCGCAATAAACAGGACCAAAAAACACTTATTATTTTACTATATTAAAATGACTTCTAATCCCGGGTGATCGAGACCCTCCCCCGGGGTCTAGGCTTGTGGCGCTAGTCTGACCTGGCATGCAGCGTAAACCCGTGGGGGAATTGCTGGTCCAGTGCTGAAACAGCGTGTCAGGGGCCCACACAGCTTTACTAGCAGCCGCCCTACCATAGGAACATCTTCCCTTTACTTACTGTCTTCGCGGCTGGCGAACAAAACACAATAGCAGTGGCTTCGTCAGGCACGTTACCTCAGCTCCCCAGACACGCACTGCCACTTGCTCGGCTCTTGATTTATCAGTTCTTCGTCTCAGCAATCAAGTCGAGCTGAGTGTGACCAGCTCACAGAGTCTTCGACAGTGACAACTGTAAAACCCATTAGTGTTTAATAAGTTGTCATAGTCTCCGAAGACACTGCAACCCAAGTTCACTATAGTTTCCCCTCCTCTTAACGGAGGACTGTGGTGGAAAAAATTCCGATACCCGCTTTGCGTGAGTCTTTTCATGCTGAAATACATAATACCAAAAGCCAGGTTGTATTTTAAGTATTTATTCTCTGCGCAGAGAAGGTTCATTCGTCACAACATAATGCGTACTGTTAGACATGTTGGCGTGTTTTGCGAAATTGTGAATGCCCTCTACACGGAATGCCCTGGTTATTAGGTGTTAACAAGCCCTGGCTGCGCGTTCTTGTCAGGAGAAGTCTCTACAGGCGAGTGCGAGCGCCAGCGCGAGGACTACTCGTCCAAGACCCGTTTGAGAGGAGAACTTTGGCGGAGATTCTGCAGGCCAAAGAGCTGATATCAGATCAGCCTGACCTCACAATCAGACAGCAGACTAGCGGGAAAGGGAAGCAGTACATGCAAAGCTTCTGTACTAGCTGTACCAGACAGGTTTGGCTAGCTGGATGACGTCATGCTAATAACTTATTTAGCTTTTAAAACAACGGGGACAGATCCAGCATGACAGTTAGGGAGTGAGGGATGAGGAGGTAAGGAACACCAGGACACACATGGAGAACTCTGTCAAGCTACATATTAGGCAAAGTGAACATCTTTTCTTCTACATAGTTGTCCTCAGTCTCGTCTGCTTAACTTGGTTATGGAGGCATCAACATTTAATTGAGATGGTAAATTAACAGTGAAAACTCATCATAGCTTAATTTAACATCAGTATTCATAATTACACTTCATGTTTACTTCTCCTGATCTTTACCTCCGATAACAGGGTCCATAGGGGCATCTCAATAAATAAACATGTTCTATTATATTATATTATATAAGTGTTATTTACTGCTTTTTTCCGTGTTGGAATAAATGTTAAATATTTAACTGCAAAGTAGTAATGCGTGTTTGATACTTTCATTTTTTTGCATTAAATCATACTGGGATGTTTGCTGAAATTGATAGGATGGCCCTACCTAGAAAATTGTTCACCAGCCGCCACTGTAACTCAGTATAACTTGCGATGCGTGGACGTCAAGGGCAGAGAGAGATACAGTTATGCGCTGCACTCTCCCCATGAGCCTGGCTACTGTTGGCAGATTTAACCCTGTTGTGAGTCCAGATGTCTCCATCTTTGTTTTGACCAACTTCCCACCAATCACGCTGACCCAGGACCTTTGCTGACCTCACCAGAAAATAACTCAGCACCATCTAGTGGACTGAAAAAGCAATTGATTTGATTTTTCTAGTAAATGTTTTTTCATTTTTTTTTCATTTTTTTAAAAATAGTTTATATAATAAAAGATCGATACTTGGCCTCCGTGTATCGATACAATATCGCCAGGCAAAATATCGCGATACTATGCTGTATTGATTTTTTCCCCCACCCCTAATACTGAGTAGAAATATATACTACATAAGTAAAAATATATACTACGTAAAAAATTACCATTACAGGACATGCACTTAAGTCACATTGACACCATATCATAGTCAGTGGACTAACAGCTTGGAGGGCGCATGCCCGATGGTGGTACCCTCCGTCGTCCCCTTCTCCTGTGGGATTCAGTAACAAGCTTCCTTTGTCTCTGAAGAGTGGGCTGAGGCATCAGTCTCAAAAACTGGGACTGGCAGGGCTAAGGCTCTATTTCATCCCCTTGATGAGTAACTTCCGATCGCCTACATGATCTCCGACGTCGGTTCAGCTGTGGAGTCGCTTTCCTTTTCTGATGGCCTAGGGGCTAGCAATTCTGTCCCTCTTCTCCCTGGTTCCTTCTCAGGCGGCTGTGCATGATGACCCAGGTCGAGCTAAAGGGGACCTCAGATGGAAGTCTGGAGTTGGTTTGCCATTGTCGGGGTACTCCATCCCCCTCCTGAGCTGCTGATGCTTCAGTCAGGGAACAGAGAAAAGATTTGAGTGCGTTGAAATGGACAACCATTCCCGTCCCTCACTCAACCAGCCTGATAAGATAAGAGTCACTATTTCTAAAATCTTGTAAGGGCCTCTAAACTGCCTCTGTAACGTAGGGCGCATACCAAGTTTCCTGACTCTATTATACATCCATACAAACTCCCCCTCTAAATAGTACTGGTACTTGGCACAAAAATCAGAAGCCATGTTCTGCTGACCTGAGGCATTCACTTGATGCCTTTTAACTGCCTCTACCCCTGTGGACAGAGTGTCTGCCAACCTTGTCCCATACTCACCAGCAGAGGAGAAACTCTCCCTACCCTCCAGACTGAGCAGGATGTCAATAGGACAACTTACTGCCCGAATCGCATCTTGTACGGACTGAATCCTGTAGTTGCCTGAACACAGCTACAGCAACCTAAAGTGACATATGGCAAGAGTACATCAACAGATCTGATGAACTTGCCAGTAACTTGCCATGTAATCAGTCACTTTAAGAGCATAAAAAGTGAAAATGCATATTTTGGCAGTAGTGGTGAAAGCATCAGGTATTCATGAAAATGACATGAAACTGTTCAATCAACTGTCCTGAGCCACTTTTTTGAATAATATCTTTGAAACTATGTTTACTTTCACAAAATCCACTTTTTTGAAGAAAATCTTTGAAACTATATTTACTTTCACAAAATCCACTTTTTTGAAGAATATCTTTGAAACTGTTTACTTTCACTGAATCCACTTTTTTGAAGAAAATCTTTGAAACTATGTCTTTTATAAAAGGCTGAGAATGTACCTGAAACCAGTAAAGGTGTTTCAAAAGCAGGTTCGAATGAAAACATCATGAAACTGTGAAATCAGCTGTCTGGAGCCAGTATTTTGAAGAATATCATTAAAACTATTTTTACTTTCACAAAATCCACTTTTGGCCACTTCCAAGCCTGAAACATCTTTTGAGAGCATAAAAGGCTGAGAATGTACCTTAAACCAGTAAAGGTGTTTAAAAAGCAGATTCTAATGAAAACATCATGAAACTGTGAAATCAGCTGTCCTGCGCCAACTATTTTGAAGGATATCTTTGAAACTATGTTTACTTTCACAAAATCCACTTTTTTGAAGAAAATCTTTGAAACTATATTTACTTTCACAAAATCCACTTTTTCGAGGAAATTCTTTGAAACTATGTTTACTTTCACAAAATCCACTTTTTTGAAGGATATCTTTGAAACTGTTTACTTTCACAAAATCCACTTTTTTGAAGAAAATCTTTGAAACTGTTTCCTTTCACAAAATCCACTTTTTTGAAGAAAATCTTTGAAACTATGTTGACTTTCACAAAATGAGCTTTTGGCCTCTTCCCAGCTCGTAACGTCTTTTAAGAGCATAAAAGGCGGAGAATGTACCTTAAATCAGTAGAAATGTGTAAGCATCAGATTCTAATGAAAACATCATGAAACTGAAATCAACTGTCTTGAGTCCCTTCACCCGAATGAACCGAAGGGTTGTCCCTAACAAACCGAAGGGAAAATCTTTGA